ATCGGTCTCTTATTCCAGCCAAAATGAGGGAACTGTCACCAAAACATGAAGAACCCGATGACAAGAATGTTGACTACATTGAGATGTTGAGTTAAGAACTGCATGGTGGAGAGACAGCATTAGAGGAGACACTAAAGGCATGATCTAAGAATGCAGACAGAGAACGGGGAGAAATGGATGCGCAACAACAGAACTAAAAATTGTACAGGAAATGGTATTTGATTAGCTGCAGTTATTCAGTGCTGGCTTCTTTATCAGACATTCTAAATTTCTTATGAGACTGAGAAAGGAAGCCCCTACTGTCCCTCACATTTTTAATTATATGAAAGAAATTAACATCCTGGTGGGACAACTATTTGCGATCAGTCATTTATGTTTTGTTTATTGCTATCATTGTTAATGGTATAATTTCTAAGAAATATTATTAATATTAATTAGACCAGAGCAATCACTAACTTGTCTCTCCTTATCCATAACTGAGAACCTTGTTCATTGCAATTAATGAGGAATTACAACATTCGGCACAGGCAAGTAATTCAACATACAAAAGGCTACTTTCTGGTCTTCACAAAAAATCAGGTATTTAAGTAGTTTTCTATCCTTCTCGCAGAAGAAGACTTGAGAACCACCTTCCAATACAGATTAAGTTCTCAAGTCAAGACCCCACTGTATTTAAGTAGTTTTCTATCCTTCTCGCAGAAGAAGTCAAAGCAAAAGAATGGGAAAGAATTCAACTATGAATTAAATTGGATTTGTACAATCATGGGGAGAGGGGGACATGGAAAAGCAATAAATTATCTCCACTGTTAAGGACATATTCTGATTTAGGATGAAAAGCTGTTTTTATAATACTTTTCTCATGGCAATATAGATAAGAGCCTCTGACGTACATTTTCAGAAACAGGTTTCTTTTCAGAATACTCTTACCCAATTCCCATTCCAAGCTAGAATTTCACTTTCTCTTCAGATGTAGATATTTACCAGTAATGTACATTTATTTCAAAGAGGAGATGCACTTCACTTTCTGAATCGAAATTGTGGCATGCATAGCTTGAACCAAAACTGACTATTCTAGGAAGTACAGGAGCAAAACTCAGACCAGCTCTTAGAGCGCCACCTATAGGTCAAATTCAACAAAAGGTAGACAAGGAAAAGCATTCTTAAGAGACAGCGACATTTAATAGTGCTTCACCATTCTGACTATGAGTCTTTAATTTAATAAGCATTCCCTCTTTGAAAACATTTATATAGATAATAAACATAGGACTATACACAATGTTTGTATCAAATGACATAGATCAACTGAACTAAATAGGACTTCTTGTATCACTGTCATATTACATTGATCTTAGTAGGTCTAAGCCAGCTGAGATCAACACTGGATTTAGTCCATAATCAATAAAGACTGTTTTTGTAGAGCTGGTCCCAAGCAATTAACTTACTTTATCCATTTTATTCTAATTATATTTTTGTTGCTGTTACATGCTCCCAAGTCATCACCAACTTATGGCAACCCTATGAATGAGTACCTTGTGCTTAGCAATTATAAACTCAAGCCTGTTGGTTCCTTTCGTGAGTCAGTCCATCTCATATTTGGTCTTTCTCTTTGTCCTGTGGTCTTCAAATTTTCTTAGCATTATTGTCTGTTCCAGAGAAGTTTGCCTTGTCATGATGTGCCCTGTCTCAGCATTTTTGCTTCCAGAGATTGTTCAGGCTTGATTTGATCTAGGACCTACTTCTTTGTCTTTCTGGCAGTCCAGGTTATCTGCAAAACTATCCTCCAGCAAATTTTGAAAAAATGATTCCCCCACCCCCAATATCAGCTTTCTTTACTGTTCAGCTTTCCCACCCATAGTGATCAGAAATACAAGAGTGTGGATGATCTTGGTCCTCAGTGACACATCCTTATACTTGATATTTTTAAATTTCTTCATTGCTGACATACACCAGAGCATTCTATGCTGCTCCCCAACCTTTCCAGAATTGTTTTGTTGTGGTGGTGGTGGTTTTTATTTTTATTTTATTTTATTTTTTGCAGATCTTCTGGCTTTCACTGTAGCAGCAGTGACAGAATGATATGTGAACTGCAAAGTGCTAAAGACTTTTCCTACTGTAAGCATGAAGCTTCACTTTCCCTCACTGCCTAGATCGCTCCATCTCCTGATTGCATTTCCAGTAATACTTCTCCTACACCACTTCAGCACCTTATCAGAAATGGGGGGGGATCACAGATCATCAGTATGGCAACAGGGAGGGGAGCCAACAAGATTTGGCCTGTTTCAGTAGGTACTTGTATCTTCATTTCTTTCATATTCAAAATTATTTAAAAGATTGCATTGACTACAGTCGTTTGCTATTGAGCCACACTTAGTATCTGGATATTAACCTATGAGGTTCCTCTGCAATCCCTCCATATAGGAATGCAGTCTTCATATCTAGGTGTTTGAGATGTTTGGAGGCTGCCACACTCAGGAGCAATCTTTTACTGCTATGTTTGACAACAGGAGCAAACGTTTCACCAAAGTCTTCTCCACACATCTGCAGGAGTCCCTTTGCAACTAGTCTCACCTGGTAGTATTCTCCTGGACCCTTCTTCACCTTGAAGACCTGCTGATACCCAATGGCTTTCTTTGACTTGTGTTAGTTTTGTCAGTGTCTACATCTCGAGTTTGGGTAGTGTTTTCTTCTGTCTCTTCTCTTACAATTTCTCTTCATCTGGCTTCAACTGCTGGCATCTGCTCAAATTTTCCCCAGGTCACTGGCTAATTAATCTGGAACAACCTTGCAAGGTAGATGAGGCAAGAAGGTGCTACACCTTTGTTGGGTCACAATGAGCATCTCATGCCTGGCTTTGGAGCAAGTTCCGGCATTTGTGCCTTTTCTAGTTCAAAAGCCTTCATCTCTGCCCCCTTTTCTTGTATTGCTCTCATCCTGTGTCGCTGTCTTCATGCTTTATGCTTGACTCAGGTGATGAATACACTGATAATACTGCACCTAGGAGAAGTCCAATATACTGATCTTCCCTTCCAGAAATATATGTTATTATTTTGTCAGCTTTTTTGCTCATCAAAATGAACCACATCTTACGCTAACTTTACCTGTCTTTAAGCTCATTACTTCATATCTTTTGCTGCCAGGGACATAGCCAAGCAAAACAGTCTGTTCTGTTCTAGAGTCCAGTTTGTGCCTTTTCTATTTTGGTATGTAGGTATATGCCAGGCTTCCAAAGAATTTAATGTATTTCACACTTGGTCATCTGCCATGTCATAACTCAATATAGTTTTTGTGGTGGTTTTTTTGTGATTCTATTGGTTTGCAAATGTTCTGGATATGTTGCAGTCATTATAACATCATCCCAAGCTTTGTTGGACAACTCTGCATCTGCAAGCATGGATCTTGTCAAGAGATCTTGGTTTCATTTCGGCTGCTCCATTCTGCTGAAGAGTATTGCAACACTCCTCCTGTGCAAAATATCTTGTTCCTCCGGGAAGGATTGTGTGTGATACAAGAGGTACTAATCCCCATTGTCTGTTTGGCATGCCTTAGATTTTCTCTTAAACTTGTTGCTCACCACAGGAACGTAATTCTTGTGTCATGTGTCTCACTCCTTCAGTAAGTAGGTAACGCAGTACCTTGAAAATCTATCCACAACTATTAAGCTATTATCTGCTATGTCCTAGTGATGATACATTGAGTGGCCCACATCCATCACCATGTATTAGATCCAGCACCTCAGTGCTTCCTCTTAGTCTTCGGTAGGAATGAGGGTCTAACATCTTTTTCTGTGATGCAGATTACACACCTGGTTGTGTTATTTGCATTGCATTACTTTACCTTAATACTTGTAGCAAGGTAGTGGTTTTGCAGCCAGAGGATTGTCTTTGAATATTTATGTGCAGAGTGACAGTGACAAAACTCCAGACTGTCGTCATGACTGTTGTCATCCAATGACTGTTTTCATCCTCTCTCTGGGCTTGCACTGTATTAGCTTGGTGTGCTGAAAGACTCAGTTTGTAGATTCAAAATTTCGAAAATGTGTATTTTTTTTTACTATAAAGATGATATACTACAGTATAAGGATTTTCTATGTGTACTGAAAATCCTTTGTCATCTAAAGCTGAATCACTTAACATGCTTTAAATCAGGAACATACAAATCATGAGTATTGACTGATTTCATTAGGCTGTCTGTACTGTAAGACACCACTCCCAGTTCCTTCTGTGTGGCCTCATCACTGTTCTGAAAGGAACAAAGACAACCATTTAACATCTGATTATTTGAACACGAATGCAATGGAGGGAAGAAAGAGAAAGGCTTATATAATAGTGCAGGATAAAATGAGGCATTATTCAGGAGAAAGAAATGGAACTCAATCTCCATAACATGGGATTTAGATATTATTCTCTATTCCAGTTTCTCTTATGTCTGTATCATTTCCAGAACAAAATACAATTCAATTTTAGCTCAGGAAAAATAAAGTGAGCTTAGTAATTTTACCAATCCAAAGGAGTCTGAATTTACCGATAAAGGACTTCAGAGTTCCCCTTCTCATAAGTATTCTGGAGTAGCCCAGGCTTGTTACAGGAAGGCAGCTCAAATAGTAAGTCTACAAATGTGAATACTCAAAATGTAGGTACTAGTATGTTTAAAAAAATCTAGTAACAGAACCTGCAGTTCACGAACTGAATGGAGCTAGCTATTCTGAGCAGCTACTGATGGAAATTAGAGCAAATGTTTCAAATGCATGAGTCGCCATCACAAGCTATAATTATATACTGTACAGGCCTATGTGCAAAAAAATGTTAAAGGATGTACTGACTAGATCACTGGTTCTTAACCTTGGGTTACTCAGGAGATTTGGACTGCAACTCCCAGAAGCCTTCACCACCAACTGTGCTGGCTGGGGTTTCTGGGAGTTGCAGTTCAAAAACATCCGAGTAACAAAGGTTAAGAACCACTGGACTAGATCATCAATGAATTGTCAAAAAATAAAGTTTAAGTGAAACAAACTGTATATACATTTTATTAACAAGGGAATTTTCACTGTGGCTGAAGGAGGCAGTGAGAAACACAAGGACGGGACATAGTACATAACAATTTTATCATTTAACAAAAATATTGGCATATGAGACATATGTACAAGTATATTTCCAAACAACAACATCTCTGTTATATCTTATACACAGACATAAAAGAACTGAGTTTTTTTTTAAAAACAGAGCTTGATCATAAAGAGGTCAAACATCCCGTCTCAAATCTACAAATATTAAAACTAAAAAGGATCAAAGATCATCACTGCCTGAACATTTTCATTTTATACCTATCCATTAAAGCCTTCACTGAAAGCCATACACGAAATATCAAAAATATATTGATGACTCTATCACTAATAATGAATGCTTATATTTACATTACCAAATTCATTGCCAAATGCTTTATTTACAAATTTCTATTTGCCCTTTGTGAAAGTCATTAAAAGTTTAAAAACCATAGAAATGCCAATTAGAAACAATGCATTCCAAAAAACCATACTTGTTTACAATTATTCAGACTCTGTGAAAATAAATGTATGAAAATGCAAATTTTAATACAAGTACTTTCACACACAAAAAAATTCAAACCAATGTGTAATAATTTTGCCCTGAAATTGTAGGATGCGAACCCTTCTCTTTCAACAACGTTGTAAGACAGAAACGAAATCAATCCATTAAGAATAAAAACTTTAGAAATCTTATTTTTTTCTTTTTATGCTTTTTGGTAACCAGTATTAACATTTTTACTGTACTCATTATACCTTCTAGATATCCTAGCATTTGTTAGAATTTTTTTATTTTAACTGATCTGCATTTTAACAGAAGCCTCATATGCTGCCTGTTTGCAAATTATGATCCGCTAAAATAGATTGTATAAGTTATATTACATAAGGTTTTCTAAAATTACAGCATGTATTTTCTCACTAGCAACAAAAAGTCCAAACAAGCAAGAATGAGGGAGAAAGCAGAGTAGAATGTTAAAAGGAAAAAAAGAAAAGGAATTTTAGAACATAGGTGGTGTTGAAACAATCCCAAATGGCAATGATACCAAAAGACAAAAGAAAAATACACTCAGAAATATGGGGACTGACAGATTAACACCACAGTCCTATGCATGTATACTCAGTAATAAGCCATGCTGGGTTTAACCGGATTTACTTCTAGGTAGGTATGCAGAAGGTGGCACATGAAAATCTGGTCTCTAAGTGGGGCAAGGTCAGACTTCTGAAAGCCTATTATACAATTAAACAGCTAAAGGGCACCTACAAAAGTTTTTGAGCAGGATTTTTTTAATTAAATGGATGGATGGATTTTTGTATGTTAAGACTTGTCTTTTTAAACCAAATTGAAGTACCTGTAGCATCTACTACATTTTACAGGTTGCACACAATGCTACATCAAGCTTCTTACATTGGGAAAAAAACCTCTTCAAAGCAAAACTCGTTTAGTGGTCCACAATTTTTCACTATGAGGGAACAAGCTACGGTATAAGATCACTCCTACTTGGTCTTGAAATCTAGATCTTAGTGTGCCATGGGTTAAAAAGAAAGAGAAACACACAGCATATACACAGTAGAGGATAACAGGGCAGAAATGCAGCACTGAACAAATGATTAACTTTTTCAAGTTTTTTTTGTATCCTTTAAATGGGAAGCTGCTGATTTGGATAAAGAGAGTTGGGGAAAACTAATTCAGACAAAACATTAGTACACTTTGACAGTCTGCTAATTTATAATACTGGTTTCATGGTGCACTGCAGTGGTTAATGCCAAAGCATTTCAAGCACAACTAAGCATTGGACACTTGTAACATATGTGTGACAAATTTAATATCTGACATGTAATAATTTCTAAGCAATAGAGAAAAATATTGCAACCACCTTACTAAATCCATATACAAAGTAGCCACAGACTAGTTTGTTTGGATCTTATTCCCTTATAAGAGAAAGTGAACAGAATATGAATATAGAACAGGGTAGGCAAAGTGCAGCATTTTGACTGAATGCAACTTGTCAGGTCTGCTTTTATGGCCCTTAGCTGCAACAGATTCCCCTGTCACCCCCCACCCAAAAGGTAAACTACCACTCCTGGGTGATTTCTGGAACGATGATTTACCTTCCAGATCTACCGCACGCACACACAGAGTTTTCAAAACCAGAAGTGGACTTCTGCTCATGTTAGCTTTTTTTCATTCCCCTTCTCCAATTCTGACGTTATGCGTGACCCAGAAAGTCTGCTGTAGGCAGGAAACTGCTCTCCCCCTGACTGCACAATGTTGTCCAATCAAAATGAAGGAAATTATCAAGCTACTAATGGGGCAGAATCATATGCCTTTGGCTGCTTAGTGAAGAAACAAAAATGTAATTTCCAGAAGTTTACCAAGTGAATAAAAGAAAAAAAATGACATTTAGTTTCCCAATAGAAAAACTGCAACACATAAAAATTAAACAACAAATAACAAAATAAATACTCTTCTCCCAAATTGCACAAACAGCTGGGGGTTTCAAGTAGACAATTTTAATCACTCAACAAACTCAAAGAAAGGACCGGTTTAACAGTTAACGGGGGGCGAGTTAAGCATAGCTGAACTGTGACTAGAAGTCATGCTCATGTTATCCATATATGACTGCTAAAACACAAAATGAATGCCAGGGGGCTCTTCACCACTCCCAGGTGGGAAGTTAGGTTCAATGGTTTTGGTCCACTCCTCCACTGGAAATTATGTTCTCAACTATGCAGGAGATATATATACCTAGTCCTTCTGATATTGGAATTGAACATTTAGTTTTCTATCAAGAGTATCCTTCAAAATTCTTAGTTTTATCCAGTCAATTGCTGCTCTGGCGCTGGACTTTTGGACCAACACTCTGAGTTTCCTCTTCTGGATTTGGGCGTTTTCCAGCACATCCTCCACCAGCAAGTGATGTTCTTCCTGCAAATTGAAAACAACCATTTATTTCAAGAAACTATTTGGCTTTTATGTTACGTGAGTGTCATTATGAATGTTTAGAAGACATACCTTGCTGGATTAAGTGTGCTTTCTGACTGTCTCCATGAGCATAATGCAAAATACTACTCCCTTGAGAATAACCTGTTAAAAACACATTACATTTAAATTAGATTTTGTTTTTAAATTTAAATTTAAGAGTATCAACATTTACGTATTTTATTAAAGCATATTTCAATGATTTACAATCACATTTGATTAGAGAGAGTTTAAAAGCATTCCATGGTTCCCAGATGTTCTTGGATTAAAACTCCTAGAAGCCTTACCACTCACTAGCTGTGCTGGACACGATTTCTGGGAGTTATGGTGCAAGAACATCTGAGGACCCAAAGTTTAGAACCATTTCTGTTTCTTAAAAACCATAGTGTATACCTGTTACTAAAAAACTAAAAAATAGTTTCTTTACAGAAAAGTATAACAAATTTGAAACTTTTAAGAGGCAAATTCCTCAATTTCAGATTTCTCCCAAAAGCAGTAATTGTTATAAATCAGTATTCTATTAACTATAAGCACCCTTGCAATTGAATTACTCTCTAGAGCCAATCCCTCATAAAACAGAAGGATGCAGAGGTTAAAAATATAATCAGATTTCTCTCTGCCCTATTATTTTAGATATCTTCTCTGGCTTAAAGGTAAAGGTAAAGATTCCCCTTGACATTTTTAGTTCAGTCGTGTCTGACTCTAGGGGGCGGTGCTCATCCCGTTTTCAAGCCGTAGAGCCAGCGCTTGTCCGAAGACAGTTTCTGTTGCCATGTTGCCAATGTGACTAGGGAACGCCGTTTTACCTTCCCACCAAGGTGGTCCCTATTTATCTACTCGCATTTGCATGCTTTCGAACTGCTAGGTTGGCGAGGAGCTGGGACAAAGCGACTGGAGCTCACTCCATCGTGTGGATTTGATCTTACAACTGCTGGTCTTCTGACCCTGCAGCACAGGCTTCAGCATAGCTCACAGCGCCACCACTCTGGCTTATAAAGTAGCAATACAACACCCCTCTACCATTTTGCTCATAACTGGATATACTGCTAATTCTTGCTGAGCATAATAAAGGACACACACGATGTGAAGAGGTGAAGCTTTGCTCCTGGCCGCATCCACAGCATGTGGCATTCCACTGAGCCTGTTTTCTGGAATCTGTTGAAGGTATTTGCAGGGAGCAAGCCTATACATGAGCATCCGTTCATATACTGGTTTTGACAATACTTTCACTGGTCCCAACAGATGGATGTTTGGGGGCAACTAGCTGTTGAATCATTGCACAGAGCTCCCTTCACATGGTAGCATCACGGGGACCAGCGTAGGGCTTTCAATGTTGAAATCACTACATTTAATTTCACACTGACCATGTTTTGAATTTAAGCTAAGTCCAAAAATCAAATCACTGTAATATTCTGATCTGGCAAACAGAAAGGTCCTTTTTGAGTTTTTCTTGTATTTTGACAGAAAAGGCTAAAAATGTCCTATTTACCAGATTCTAAAATGAACAAGCCAAACAGTGGAAGAGGAACCCTGCAAAGGCCTATATCTCAAGAGGTCTGCCATTTCCCTCTTCTCCTTGCCTACCCAGGCTGGATTTCATTCAGAGCCATTCAGTTTCAAATGTCCTACCTGCTGACGTGTTTATGAATAGATATAAAACCCAAGCTCCCAAAAGGTCTACAACAAGATCACTCAACAAAAGTCATCTGTGGCAAAAACAGTTAGCTGACCATCAAGTTTATTTGATTCGAATTGTCTGTTTAATAACAAACAATGCTATATCTTCCTTTTATGAGGAAGTGTATTTTGGATTTTTTTAAATGAAAATCTTGACTGTAATTACTTATTTAATATCTTTGAGTTGGATGGTGGTGAGAGTTTGCACTCTGAATAACTGTACCCACTGCAGTTGTGGCTACAAAATCTAGTCCAAAAAAGGCAGTGTGCAATAAATAAATGTCTCTAGCCTAGCTTGTATGTCAAATGAGCTTAGCTATTTCTATCCAGAATGGTAATTAACTGGTTGCTCCAAAACCCACAACTGCAGCAGCAGCAACAATTTGATTACATTTAAACTCCAAAACCTGCTCACTCACTTCTCTTGACTCTCCAGTCTGATTCTACTGCAACCTCTGGAGCTTCATGTAATAGAACTCCCAGAGATGAACAGAAAAACTGTGACAGGACCATCTCAGCTTCTTTCAAGTCAGTTGGACTTCTAGCCCCATCATCCCTTAAAATCTTCTTTTTTTAGAATTTTTCCTCTTCTATCCTGATCTTAAGCAGGTTGACACAGAAGGAAGCCAACCAGGTTTGTGTAGAGGGCTAGTGCTCAAAACATATAAAAGTTGAGATGGCACACATATCTTTCTTTAATTTACATTGTCTCTTCCTAAAACATTAATACTCATTCGTAGGGCTCTTCTGACCTTATCTTAAGAGAGATATCAACTGATATTTTCTTGATTCAGAGTTTAAGCATGACAAGTCTTAAATAACCTGTCTCAAAGATACTAAAATGAACAGTACTCAACAATATGTATATATGTTCATACTGTGAGGAACTCTCAAACTTATTTGTTCAGTGGTAGACTAAAGGATTACCCAAACAAACAAACCCAGAATAAGTGAACGTGAGGACATTTGAGGAATTTAACTTTGCAGAGCTAAAGGAATGCAGTAAACAGTTTCTAGTTGTTTTACCTTGCTGCTGAACTCCACTTGTACCCATATGAGATTCTCCTAAGACATATGACTGAACACTTGCTGTATGGCCTTCATTTGTTCCCATCTGAGATCCTGCAGTAAAGCAAACCACATTATTAGCTCTTCTCACTTTGGAGAAAAAGAATTAACAGATCACCAGGCACAGGCTTCCCCCTAGACACCACTGAGAAGCAACAAAAAAATTATACAATTTGATGAAGGAATCCTCTGCAAATGTGCAAGCCCAAACTGATGAAGATACATCAGGAGTGTTATACAGAAGTTTGTTTTTTTAAATTTGCTCTCCAAAATACATAAATCAAGCAATCTAGGACACTCTATAGTTTGGGAGTTGTTTAGTCACATGGAGTCTAAGACCTGATGCTAGCAATATTCAAACTATTTATGGGAGACCACTGACTTCCTGAAGCAATTACAATCCAGTAGAAATCCAGTAAACTATCCAGCAATTCTGCATAGTTCAGTGGTTCAGGTATCTGGCTACGTTCAAAAGCCTGAAGGGCTTTGGGAGCTGCAAGCAGTTCTAGAGCATCTACATATAAGCTTGCCTCCTTTCTCAATGAAATGAGATAATGCACGCTGCCACCTTTGAGATTATGTATCTGTTGCCAGAACAAGAGTGGGTTTGGATGTTCAGAATTCTATGCCTGCACACAGGTGTATAGTTGACACTACCACTACTGATTTTACTATGCTGTGTGGATGTTGACTGGAAGGAAGAGATGAGCCTTTGGATTCTCATACATCCATCTGAAATTTTGTATGAATCAATGTTGCAATAGCCTCCTGTGTAGAGTGGCATGTGGATTTAATGCCACCGTGGAAGCTATCAGACTGAATACTACTTATACATGTTGTGACTGTGTGAGTGTGGTCAGCAGAAGAATAACTTTCCTGCTTACCATCAACATTCTGTCAAGAGAAAGAGTAACACAAACTTCATTGGAATCCAGGTGAGCTCAAATGAAAATGATAATTTGAATGGGAGTAAAATGAGATGTTTTCAAACTCCCAGAGCATCACAGTACTTCACAGATCTTTAAAGAGTTTGGATGAATTCACAATTAGTGATACAAAGAGAGAGCATTATACTTTGGGTCCTTAGGCAACCTGCCATTATGTCTATACTGTGTTGAGAAAGACTTCCCCAGGAAACTTTGCTTACCATCCACAACCAATAATGTCAACAGAATTTGTCTGTGCACAGTTTAGCTAGCTAGCATATAACTGGTAACATCTATGGTGATTTCTTAACTTGGGGCAGTTTGCTTCCAGAAGTTTAGTTTATTTCATTTTGTATCATTTGTAGGCCACCTTTCTCCAGCTGAGGGGATCCAAAGTGGCTCACAATGGTAAAGCAAGTACTATTAAAACCCCAATTAATTACAGATTAAAAAGCAATTAAACTACAGGAATACTTAAAATCTATTAATTCATTAGAAGCATATAAAACTTTAAAAACAAACTTAGAAAAGCAAAAGACCTGCATCCAGGGACTCATGTTATGCTGTTTGTGATATCAAGTAAGAGGATTTAAGCCATTATTTTAATCTTCTTCATGTTCAGCTGTAACATGCTTTTGCACCTTCTTCTTTCACCTTCCTCATTAGCAGTAAGTCACTATTTTCTGCCAGTAAACATGGTGTTATCCGCACTGATGTTTTTTCCACCACTCCTCTTTCATTTGAATCTAATCTAGTTATGGACCTTCTTGTTTGTTAGGAAACAAGAAGGTCTTGTTTCCTCTTGTCCTCTTATATTTCTCTGCTATGATTGCTACAATTGTTCTCTTTGTCCCCAAATAAAAATCTACACTTCGGTTTATGATACTACTTCTGTTGCTTTTTACTTTTGTTCCTCAACATTCATTAAAAGAAAATTAAAAGTCACATCTGTCATCCATTGAGGCTTTCCTTTTGGCTATGCAAATAGTCTACTTCCATGACATCATCTCTGGTTTCAACCACACTGTTCTTCTGGTTTGTAATTTAGTTTAGTAATGCAAATCTACTCTGAACATTCTGACTTGGGCAACTATGCTCAAAGAGTGGGCTTACAACCAAGTCCAGCATTCTAACAGTATTGCTCTAATCTTCCCTTAATTCATTTAAAATAGAAGAGATGGAAGGAGGTGATATTTCAGATGCAATGACTGGGCCCTGTGGGTGCAGACCATGTGTCTTCACCCCATCAAATCCATCTTTTCATGCTTTCAGCTGGAAAAGAATAATGCAAAGCAAAGCAAAGTGTGAAGAATAGCTTCTTACACTGTACGAAAGAGTCATCCACCTGAAGTACAGGTTCTGTGCCTTTCTTACAGGTAGCAAATATGTTCCTCAGCAGTGTGAATGTGGTATGTAAAGGGAAGGGAAAGGGGTAAAAAGAATGGTATTATGAACTCCTTATTCTCTTGGGCATTCGTCTGCCAGCACATAATGCCTGAGTACCAAAATACCGTATTATTCTGTTCATAAGACGACACACACCCCTTTTCTAACCTCCAAATTAGAAAATTTGCACGATCATACCCCTTTGGTCCTGAAGCCGTTTCATGGCTGCTTCAGGATCAAAGGGGTGCGAGTGTGCCACCCTTTCATGGATGCTTTACCCTGTGGCTTCGTGAAAGGCAGGGAAAGTGGCTGCCTTCCGTGTTGGATGCTTTACCTTGTCTAATTATTTGAGTAAAAAGTGTCATTTTATACACCAAAAATATGGCGATTTCTTTTCTTTTCTGTCTTCACTCTTTATTTATTTATTTTATTTTATTTTATTTACAACATTTTTAGCCACGCCATTACCAATGGTAATGCACTCTCTTGCACTCTGGTCCTAGTATTCCTACCTAAGGACAATCTACTTTATTAATACAAGAGGAGATTACTGCACTACTTTTTCCACTTAACTTCTCTTCCATGAGTATCACAATTTTGTTTTCAGAAAGCTGGTCAGATTTGTTAAAATGTTACACTGGTAAATTTAATTTTACTAGAAGATATATAACTTACCACTTGTACTAGCACAACCAGGGAGGGTTTCCCCTGGAGAATATCCCATTAGGCCACCATTTCCATTTCCATTTCCATTAGAAGGCACTGATGCAAGAAGTCCTAATCAAAAGAAAATGTAGTAACATTAAGATAAAGAACACATATTTCTGCTTAGTCAGTACTTTTCTCATGCTTCTAGTTCCACATTCTTGTGCTGCATTTCATCCATAAAGAAAAGGCGATTTCCCCAGTTATAAGATAAAATTATGTCAATATAAATTATTTTTAAGTATACATATATAAGTATAGACATGAAAATGGAACCTCAGCTTAGTCATAAAATGTACCTACAGTATTTTGTAAGCTATTTTAAGAGGAAAATCAGGTTTGAAATGTATTGTAAAATGAAACAGAAGGAATATGAAAGCAAGAAAATAGTAAACAAGAATCACCATGATCAGTAACTGGAAAACTAAATTGTACTATCAGACGCTTCCCACATATAGATGGGAAACTCCACATTTTTGAACAAAAATCCTATAATTAGGTGATCAGTGAAAACTTTATATTTGAAGAGATTTTAAATAGATAGTGTCTTCAAATACTAAATACAGTAATGAAAAAACGGCAGAAAAACTAATCTCTTTAGAGTTGTGAAAGAATGAAACTGCTTTTACCAAGCACCCGAAGGACAGCATCATAGGCTTCAGGCAGCTGAGCTGATGGACAACATCCTCAATCAGGGCACCACAATTAAGACTGCCCTTTCCATGGTTACCATATACTCCCTCTGATCTGCTTGATTTATGTTACACTAAGTCTCAAATCCTCCTCTGTAGCTATGTGGATGGAGCCCAAAATTACATCCTTGGTATCTACAATCATGCCAAGGTGGAAGTGCCATCCACAAATCATTTCTGCACAATTGGTCACGTGAGAACCCTGCAACCAAGTGTACAATCAACTTGAGCAGTCCTTGTTGTTGGGGCAGAACTCCTTGCACATTTACAATGGCATAATTTTATGTTACACCTTGATGAACCAGATTTAAGCCTAATTGTGAGAAAGCAAAACACTCTTGTCACCTTTGTTGTTGTCTGCCCTCTGGCTACTTCTGACCCATGACAGTCCTATGAATTATGACCTCCCAAAGGTCCTATAAGTAAAAGCTTTGTTCAGGTCTTGCAAACACTGTCACCTTTAACACTTTAAAAAGAACACATCTCTCAAAAGAGAACTTTATCCACAGACTACGTAATAATAAGTGGATGGTCATCAAGTGTCCTATATGCTTTATGGGAGATGTTGGAGATGACAGGCCATGACACACTGCCCTGCCTGGAATATAACCAATCTCTCCATGTGTGTTGCACTTCAATACCTTGTACGATGAATAGGATATTGGCTAATGCAGTGACCTACCTACATAAGGAATTAAACTTGAGACATGAATTCTGTGTTAAATAGTAACACCATGCACTGCACAAGGTTTTAATACCATCAATATGAATGAAAAGTGCAAGAGAAATAGATTTTCATTCCCCAGCAAACTTCAGTCAACTCGTTACAAACACTGTGGCTTAAATCTTGTTGTTTAGCATAGTCAGTTGCACTGGAATTGGGTCCAGTGATTCAGTGAGCATTTGGTGAGTCAGCTCCTCCATAAGTTCTATTGAAGTAAGTAGCAAGTAGAGTGGGCCTGGTTGAATCAACAGAACATACAGAGGAAATGACTTACCATATTCTGCCAGTGATGCAGCAGCCCTGCTCTAGTGCAACTTACTATCCTAAGCAACAGGACTTCAGCCTATAAAAGGCTATGTATCTTGTGGCAAAAAAAGCAATGTGAAGAGCACATATGGAAATCAAGATATCATACCCAAACCTCTGTATCGCGAGAGCTGTTGGTAGATTTGTTTCATCCTCTCAATGTTCAAGCGACTTGCTTCAGCATGATTTACCATTGGTTTGGGGTAATTCACTCCTATTACACATTTTGCTGCTTTCTGAACACCTTCAGGGGCATTCCAAGGATCATATATGTATTTTGCAGGAAAACCTCTGAGTACAGGCAGATAGCGTCTTTATCAAAAGAAAAGAAAAAAGTTTAAATCACAGCCTCATATATTAAAGCCTGATCAACTCATTAGATAGTTCATTCCACTAGTATTTCACCATGTCATTTCACCTGATATAGTCTCCATTAGGGTCAGTTCTCCTTCCAAAACCCACAGGGCAATAGCAATGGAAAAACTGTTGGAAGAAGGAGCTACAAGACAGCCACATCCAACTGCCTGCATTGACACTCCAGTCAGCATCCAGAAGTAATTCTTCAAAAACCTACAGAAACAGACAAGAGTTGACCTGAGCAAACAAGTAACTAACATAAAGATCTTTGCATGTTGGCCACTGAAAAGCTGTGTCAATGTACAGTATATGGGCTTTTGTTTGCTGAGTTGAGTTGTACCCTAAGAAATTTCACTATAGACTGTTTATTCAATGCCCTGTTGAAACTACATGTATGAATTACACAGAACAGAATCCTTTCAAATTTTGAACTGCATTAAATCAGCAGGCATAATTTTGTCTGTATACATTATGAATAATTTATCAGAGGTCCACACAGCTTAGATACATAAAAACAGACAAGGAAGGAAGAAAGGTAGATCAGCTGCAGAGTGGTTGCCACTGCCAGTGCAAAAGTAGAGCTGGATGCTCATATATTAATGACTGCTTCATTTCTCTGTCAAAACGAAGTTACGCTGTGAAAAAAGTTTGCACAGCTCCTCTGCTGTATTCGACCCTACAATCTTTACATGGCAGTCAGAAGTTAGAATATAAGACACCTGCTAGTCAAATGCCGGTCCTGTCAATGCAATGAAGGATTTAGTTTGTTATAGTTAACTTTTATGTGATTTATGTTTATATAATTTATGTTTCTTTATTTCTGTTGTATGCTGCCCAGAGGAGCAATTTGCTAGATGTGCAGTGTAAACATCAATGAATCAAACAAGCAAACAAATGTTAAGGCATGAACAGGTATGTCATATTCCTGAAAACTCAGGTAGCAAGGGAACAATAGGTATCTCACTACTAGGAACGTCTAATGCAAATTCTAGATTAGAAGCACTGGAACAATCGACAGTTGACATTGCTGTGACTAGAGCCACTCCGCAGGATCAGACTATTATGTTATTCTGAACATGCATGTGACGTGTTAAAGTGCTAATGAAATACAGTGGTGCCTCGCAAGACAATGTTAATTCGTTCTGTGAAAAACGTCACCTTGTGAAAACATTATCTTGCGAAATGCGATTCCCCATAGGAATGCACTGAAATCTAATTAATGTGTTCCAATGGGGGGGGGAATCGTCGTCTTGCAAAAAAAAAAGTCTTGCAAAATGCTGTTTCCCACAGAAAGGCATTGGAATCTAATTAATGCGTTCCTATGGGCAAAAAGTCAGAATGAAGTCAAATAAAAAAACTTTATAAATATCATAGAAAAACATTTGTCTTGCGAAAAAGCGTCTGTTAAAAAATTGTCTTACGAGTCACGGTCCCAACTGTCAAAAACATCGTCTTGCAAAAAAAGTGTCTCTTTTAAAAAATCGTCTTGAGAGTTATGGACCCAAACATCGTCTTGCGAAAATTGTCCATAGGAAAAACGTCTTGCAAAGCGCAACAACGATCGCAAAAACCAATTGTCTTGCGGATTAATTATCTTGCGGATTCATCGTCCCACGAGGCACCACTGTACACTGGGAGTGAGTAAGAAGGGCACGTCTAGATGCATGTTAAAGAAAACAAGAAGTTCCATGGAAGACTTTGAATAGGATATGTAATGTATCAGTTGTCCACTAGATGTTGACATTTAGCTAAACCTGCTGAAATTATGTAACAGTATATAATGTTTACTGCTTCTGTGACAGAAGACTAAATTCTACTCCACGGATCTTCAATAATTCCTGTCAGAGCACAATTATATGCACGTTTACTCAGAAGTACACCCCAGAGTTCAATGACATGTACTTCACCATACACATACTTAGTCTTCTGTCACTGTCAGAATTGTATGCAACATCGTATACTAAAATTCTGATGCTCTCTATATGCATTGGCTGAATAGGCATGTACTTCACCATACACGTACTTAGAGTAGTCTTCTGTCACTGTCAGAAATGTATCCAACATCGTATACTAAAATTTTGATGCTCTCTATATGCATTGGCTGAATAGCAATATTTGTCTGAAGGTATTTAGAAATATTTATACAACTGAAATATCAAACTGAAAGACTAATATACAAATATCAAAGTGAAAGAACAATATAAAAATAAAACTGTACCTTCATTCCTTCTTCCCAACTAATCCACAGATCACCACGAGTCAAAAAACATGCCACAGCATGTCTGGCCAGATGGTGGATCCATCCTTCCTGACGTAGCTGGGTCATAATGGCATCAATCCAGGGGAACCCTGTCCTGCCTTCTGCCCATTTTGCCAAAGCCTCAGGATTCTTATCCCATGGAATCTGTACGCATATCGGATTGCCTTCCATTTTATCAAAGCGTGGATTATTGGTGGCTGCTGTGTAGAAGAATTCACGCCACAGCAACTGACCATAGAGTGAAAGCGGAGGGGAGCTGTTCTTTTTTACCTGAAAAATCACAGAAAATCAGAAACTCACCTTTTTCCCAGGAAAAAGGAGGAAATTGTGTTTCATTATAAATATTTGACAATTCAAGGTGGCCAGTTCATACCTTTTTATACAAGTCTGTTAGTTTGAAATAAAAGAGACGACAGGATAAGCAGCCAAAGCGTAGATAAGGACTAAGTCCTGTAGGACTTGCAAGAAGAGAATTGGCATTCATTCGTGGTCGTTCAAAGTTTGCCACCCAAGCCTTAAAAAGGAAAAGGAAACAGTTACCTAATTTGTCCCAAGATCAATTCAATAATGAGAGCTGGAAACAGCTGACTACACATCTAACATCTTAGATTCTGGGAAGCAGACGTTTTGATTTATTTACTTATGAATTCTAAAAATAATATTGCTCTCCCTACATGAAAGGTGTTACAACAGAACAAGTTCTATATAGCAGAGGTCGTCAACCCCTAGTCTGCGGCCCAGTGCCATTCCGTGGCCTGAGCTGGACCAGGCTGCGAAGACAGACTTCCCACCCCTCTTCACACACTCCCCTCCCCACAGCTGCTTTGCGCATGTGACAGCGCCGCCATGAGCGCTCCCCCACCCTTTCATGCATGCACCTGAGTGCCTGAATGCCTCCACAAAGGGGTGGGTGGGCACATGGTCGGGCGTGCAGGAACCCCTGTGCAAAGGGGTGGGGGAACACTCACGACAGTGCTGGTGGGTGGGCGCTCCCCCGCCTCTTCATGCATGCGCCCGAGGACCCATGTGAAGGGGTGGGCAGGCACGCGGGTGGGTGGGTGGGCAGGCGCCCCTGTGCATACGGCAAAGGAGTGGGGTAGCACTCACGCTGGCAGGCAGGCACTCCCCCACCATTTCACGCATGCACCTGAGATAGCGCGCGCACCTGTGCGCACCTCCGGAGGGCCCTCCCCCGCCTTCCTCAGATGCTCAGCCACTCCATGGTCCCAAAAAGGTTGGGGACCGCTGCCATATAGTACCAAAACAGGAACAATTTAACACTGACTCATCACCAGCAGACTTCAACCAGCATTTGTATTGATGATACAAACAAGTTATATTTAGCATGTATTCGCGAAGACTTTCACAGCCGGTATCTAAAGGTTGTTATGGGTTTTTTGGGCTCTTTGACCATGTTCTGAAGGTTGTTCTTCCTAATGTTTCACCAGTCTCTGTGGCCGGGGCTCTTACTTATCCAGGGGGGCACGACTACTCGATTACAGAGTGCTACTCCGGTCCTCTGAAGATGCTGGCCACAGAGACTGGCAAAATGTTAGGAAGAGCAACCTTCAGAACATGGCCAAAGAGCCCAAAAAACCCACAACAACCAGTGAACAGCATCTTTACAGCTCACCCCAACTTTTGTTGTTATATGAGGTTACATTCAAGAGAACTTCTGTTTTGTAAAAAAAAGAGCTTTTCCTCCCCTATACATTACCCTGGAACACTATACCCCCTGCCATATATGTCTACCCCCAAGCCCTTTGGAACTGACGGGGGGGGAATATGGTGAATGCAAGGAATAAGAAATGCAGTTTATCTACAGTGTTTCTTCCACTGGTAAAATGACACACTTCATACAATGGCTGAAATCCGGTTGGGTGTGGCCCACCTATGCAACAGGAATGACAACACTATCAACGGCAGATTACTGCTGATTAAAGGCTTCTTTCTGTAATTTCAGATTGCGTGCAACTTCATAGCACTTTACACAAGCGATGTGCACCCCAAAATTGCAAAAGGAGGTCTTTAATCAGAGGCAGTCTGCCATTCCTGATGACCTCATTTTTCTTCCCAAGGGACAACAGGATTTCAGCCAATGTGTAGTTTGCTCTGAAGATTTAAAATTAACATTTTGGCCTTACTGTATATATTTTACAGATAATTTACATACAAAATACCTCCTGTCAAAAGTCATCACAAATGATAAAACTTTCAGTCATTTGCAATAAAAATGGAACATTTCAGATCTTGAAACATGTTTAAAGTTATTAAGAGTTTCCACCGTATAACTTTTTTTAGGACTACAGATCACTCTCTCTCCTTCATAGTTCTATGAAGTTCTGAAGCCTGTAAATAAATATCTGTTAAAAACAGCAAAGTTCAGCAATATACCTTTCTTTCTAAATGTCTTTCCAATCTTGTAAGAGCTTCTGTTTCTCCACCAGGCCAAACAGCAGAAGGCAATCCATCTGTATCAAAACCTGAAGGATATGATAAATATATAGATCAGGAAAGGTGTCTCCAGAGGTCTAGGAGACATACATGTCCATCTCTAGAACGAAGATCTGAACACATTCACAAAACCACTGCAGGGAATAGCTGTTCTGGAGGCCCTCAAAACATAGTAAGATTGTCCTGGAGCCTCTGAGGAGGCATAAAAGGCCTTTCTGTGCTTTAAAAAAGTATTCCTTTAAAAAAAAAATTAGGTAGCATGGGTGGCTGCATTTGGGCCCTTCACAATGCAGCCATCTTTAATATACCTATTGCAACCAAATGTTAACAATGTAGTTTGCCTAAGTGGGAAGTTGTTCACTGGTGTATTAGTACTAAGAATGAAGATTAATGGAGGTCAAAAGATCAATTACTACAATTAAAAATTGAATTTCCTAGGCTTCAGATATTTCCTCTGTGCACACATTTGTAAAAAATATATATATAAATCTTCTAACCCTTAGAATTTAATGGGCTAAATATATTTTCTGTGAATGGAAAGAATTTTGCATTCGTGGAAGAGTTTTTGATCTTTTGGAAATTATCTGCCAATAGAAAAGGGAAAGGCAGTTTTTTGATATTTCCCCTACAAGTAGTCTCTCCCCTACAGTAGTCATTTTCAGTGCTACCTGGGAATACTCGAACCTTCCATACCAAATAACAAGAAGGAATCCCCCGCACTCTCACTCTTTCTCACACACACACATGATCAGATCCAACACGATATCCAAAGCCCCTCCACAAATAAATTGCAATCAAGTATTTTTCATTGTTCTAAAATCACTTCCACTATAACTGTAAAATAATGCTGAGTAAGCACACAACATAAGGTTGTTGACATCAATAAACCATTGGCATTTGTGACAACCCCAGACCTACTGGGATATATCACCCTTTAACTAAGCTGCCACCAACCATTCCCTATAAGGAGTCACGCAGACCAGGAATGGATTTTTAACAAACAAAAGAACAAGGTTTATTTAAATAACAAACAGGGTAAATAAAAAGATCAAGTAAATA